GATATCGAAATTACAAACATCAATATCGATTTTCTGTTTAACTTTTCTCATTTTTTTTTTCACATATATACGATGTTTATTCGATCACGTCTTCAGTTGTAATGAGAACGTCAAAGGGTAAAGGTCTCTTAAATAGGGCTATCAATAAATTACCATTTGAACTTCATTTACCTGGTTACCAGTATTGTGGTCCGGGAACAAAGCTTGCTAAACGATTAGCTAGAGGAGATCCAGGCATAAACGAATTAGATCGAGCGTGTAAGGAGCACGATATCGCATACTCGAAAGAAAAGGATTTGAATCGACGACATCAAGCCGATAAAGTGTTGGAGGAAAAAGCGTGGGAAAGAGTTAAAGCTTTGGATTCTAATATCGGAGAAAAAAGTGCTGCGTGGCTTGTTACAAACGCAATGAAAACAAAACGAAAGCTTGGTATGGGTGTTAAACGAAAACCCTTCAAATCTTTTATTGTTAATAAAGTGAAGAGACATATTAAACATTATGGTAATGGCACCCTCAAGGATAATATTAAACTAGCACTGAGAGCAGCTCGCATGAGTGTTAAACAAGCTGGTGGTAGAAGAAAAGTTAAAGTACCTAGAGTTATCCCAGTACCTAAAGTCGGAGGAATTTTACCTCTTATTCCGCTCTTCGCAGGCCTAAGTGCTTTGGGAGCTCTTACCGGAGGCGCTGCTTCTGTCGCTAAAGCTGTTCAAGATAGCCGAGCGGCAAGAGATAAATTAAAGGAATCTCAACGACATAACGAAACCATGGAAGCCATTGCGTTGGGTAAAAGAGGAAGCGGATTATACCTTGCCAAACACAAGACAGGATATGGATTATTTCTTCAGAAGCAATTGCCAAAAAACTACCAATAAAGCTACCCAATCGACCTTTGTCTAACCTAGATATACAGAAATATGTAAAGAAATTAAAAATTGTCAACTTCAGAGGAGTATTTATGCGAAATGCTCTACCACAAACACCTAGAACGAACGAGTGCGGTGTTGTAAATTTGGACGAGATTGAAGGAGATGGAACTCATTGGGTAGCATATAGAAAAACAAGGGATAAAGTTGTGTATTTTGATAGTTTTGGAAATTTAAACCCACCAAAAGAAATTGTTCGATATTTCAAGAAATGTAAAATATATTATAATTACGACAGTATCAAACATATAATACTTATAATTGTGGTCATCTTGCATTGTCCTTTCTCTATAATAATAAATAGTTATAAAAGAACATGTGTTTTAATTTCACGCTCAGTCATGTCTCAGACATTCACACTGAAAGGTCGTTCTAGCTGTTTAAGCGTGGACATTAATCCTCCAATAGAACTCGATTCTAGATACAGTTATTCTCTAGCTCTGATATCTCTCAGTACCTGGAATTCAATACCGAATATCGAACCAGGTCGAAATAAGTTTCATTATTCTGTAGACGGTATAAAGCAAATAATTGAAATTCCAACAGGATCTTACGAGATTACCGGACATTGAAGAGTATTTGCAAAAGAGCTAAGTTCGAAGAGTAAAACCGTTATAAAGTTACACCCTAATAATAATACACTAAAGTGTGAAATAAAGTGTATCTACGATATAGATTTTCAACCTGAAGATAGTATTGGAAAAATATTAGATTTTCACCGCAAGTTTTAGCTGCCAACAAATTGCACAAATCAGATATACCTGTGGAAATTTTTCCTGTGGTAACAATACGTATCGAGTGCAATATCATATCTGATCGTATTACATTAATAATCCATCTCATACACTGTACGAGTTTAGTCCTAGCGTAGATCCTGGCTATAGTATAATTATCGAACCCAGGAATCTAATCTACCTTCCAGTAAATAGAAATTTTATTGATAACATTACATTGGATATATTAGATCAGGAATCAAGACCGGTCAACTTTAGAGGTGAAGACATTGTTATACGTTTGGAGCTTAAAAAGAATGGGTTTAACTTTTAAACCTTACTATTTAAATACCAGATCACAGAGCAATCAATCAGTTAGTACTTGTACACCAAAGCAGACGCTCACGTCCAAGAGCATACTTCAGCTTCACCATATTATCAGCAAATATGGACTCCGTATCAGAAAAACTACAAATATTCCAACCGGTCAACGTAGATGAATCCATTGCTCGAGAAGAATGGCATACGTATCACCCGTTCACCAAATCATTTAAGAACAGCGATGAGATAGAAATTGTTATTAATCAACAGGATGTGTTTATGGATATTAGCCAGGCTGAATTATACATTGAGGCCAAATTTCTGGAAGAAGTATCGACAGTTGTGAAAACAGGAAAATGTTCCCTGACAAATAACGTTGGAGCATTTCTATTTGAATCGATAACGTATGAATTGAATGGAAAAGTAATCGATAAAGTACGAGATCCAGGGCTTATAAGTACCGTTAAAAGTCTTTTGTGTCTCAATCAAAATGAAAGTACTGCCCTTGATGTGGCGGGATGGAATTGGCCGAACGGTACTGTGAAATCATATGACCAGAAACAGATAATTTCAGTCTCCTAATACCATTGAATTTCCTATTGAACGTCTTCTCCGATTATACTAGCGCTATTATGGGAACGCAGAAATTAAAGCTTGTACGTGCCAAAAAGGATGATAATTGTTATGTTAATTCAGAGGGAAACAAGAAAGCAGACATCACCATTTTGAATATCGAGTTAAGAGTAAAACATATCTATCCGAACGATTCTGTGAAATTAAAATTGTTTGAAGCAATTTCCAAGGACAAACCGATATTTATTGGATTTAGGAAATGGGAAATTCATGAACTACCTGCTCTACGACAAGCGAGAAAAGATGTATGGACAGTGAAGGCAGCATCTGACGAGCGAGATATGTTGTTGTATTCTTCCAAGAAGATCGAAAAGATAACTATAAAGCTGATGGCACATATTTCGATAATTTGAAAATTACAGATGTCAAGCTTTATCTAAATTCCGAGGCCTACCCATATGAATCCCTAGATTTAAATTTCAAAACCAGACAGTTTACTAAAGCCTATTCCATGTATACGGATTTTCAAAAATCGTATTTGGGAAAGATCAATAGCGAACCTTTGCTAGATTTTACCGCTTTTGCCAGTCGAGCCCTATTTGTAATTGATTGTTCAAAACAAAACGAGGCTCTGAAAAGTAATGTGATAGATGTAAAGCTAGAATTTGAGAGTTCGGAAAATTTCCCCGAAAACACCCGAGCATTTTGTATCATCATATACGATCGAGTCATGGAATATTTACCTTTATCAGGACATGTTAGAACGCTAATTTAATCAGTTGCTGCAAGACATTGATACGATGAAGTTCGTTGTTATAGACGTACAAGGATTTCCCATCCCCGAATTTGAGGTTAAGGAATTATCCATATACGATGGAAAAGAAATGAAAACCTATACGTTTAAACCGAAGATTTGTTACAACCATCTGCCGATACACCATAAGAAGACGATAAATTATATATTTCACAATGTTCATGGAATCCCTTATAATTCAGGGTATTTACCCTATAAGGCGATGTATAACATAATACAGGAGGAATTGGAAGGTGTCGATATGGTTTTCGTTAAAGGATCTATTAAAAAGGAATTTCTGCTGCGCACATACAACGAAATGAATCTTGATCCACCCTGTATAGTGAACTTGGAATTTACTTCTGGACCTGTGCCGAAATTAGAACAATCATACAGTAATTGTAATTATCATAGACTAGAAATATGTTCTTGTACTGTAAATAATGCTCATATATTATATGATTATATTATAAACCTGTTAACACAATAAATTTAAATCTATTAATATCTAGTATTTTTTACTTATTAGCCTGTACATTATATATTAGCTCATTTTACTGTAAACCATTGTCTTGTTCACATCGCTCTCATCATCAAATCGTTATGGATAAATCAAGTGTATTAGAACCAATAATTAATGTAGCATTAAACATTTCCGAGAACCTGGCAGAAAAGCAAATTATTTTCCAAAGTACAAACAAGGAGAAGAAGAAGATTCAAATGTCATATGAAGGTTTTTCAACGTTTCTGGACTTTGTTGATGAAAACGTTAATAGTGGTTGGTGTGATAAATCTATAGAAATTGATGGGCATTTAAACATAACTTATGCTTTTGAAGAAGAAGTGAAAGTGCTGATAATTCAAGATAGGAAATGGAAAACTTATATTGATTGGGAGGATGATTGTATATTGTTATTTAAATACTGTTTACCTATTTTTTATAATTTACTAGATGAGAGAAATGTGGAAAATAAATACACAGTGAAATGAAAAAAATTGTTTTATTTAGAATACTCTAAATCATTTTTTTTTTATAAAATCAGTCTTGAACAATATAAAAAAGTTTGAAAAATGTTTTTCAGTATTACTGTTAAATACATGTGTAAAATAAATATATAATAAAAATAATTATTTATGTTAGGAAAAATTACTAAATTTGAATGCAACTATTGAAAAGCTTAAATCAAACAGTAGACATAGTATAAAACGCCTAAATTTGTATACAATATAAACATGTTAAATATAGTAAGATAAAATATATTGGATATAATACTCTAAATAGAATACACTAAAAATACAAAAATAAAATTAACCCATCCTCTTAAACATGAAAGTAACTAAATCTTAATAAATAAATAAATAAAAAAATAAATAAAATATCGAAGGAAATAGAAGTAAAAAATAGCTGCCATTGGTTTCAGCCTATAGATTTTCCGATATTTCATCCCTATATTTTCCTAGATCTTTATGGCCCCATGCGAGCGTGTACTCGGAATTGGGAATAAGAAATCTCTTATCGTCCGCGTAGGATAAGACTATCTTATTTTTTAGCTCTACATACATATTGTGTAAATGTGAACGGAAAGTGTTCATCGAGCGATAGATTTTCGTACCTGCTACATCGACCGTGTTTTTATAATCATCCAAACTAATATCTTGTTTGGTGAGTAGTCAGCACGCCTTTGGCCTTTTCGTTAACTCACCATCCACATTTACACAATATGCTTTAGCCCCAGTTCCATAAAACTCCCACAAAATTTTTCCTGCATATTCATCCTTCATACGGCCCAACACAGACGAATTTACAGGAATATCGTGTGGATTGTTTTGCGAGTAATTTGACGTATCGAATCTATCCAAATTTTCGCGCATGTCATCATAAAAATTGTCGGTTTGAATTTGTAAAATTAGAGAATCGGTGTCAGTGTAGAGCAGTGAGGCTTTATTACCGTACTTTGGTTTAATATAACTATACAAAAAATCATACATAATAGTTTTGGAAATTTCCAAAATTGAAAAACCTACGTAAATAGGTTTATTATATACGATTTTCTGTTTAGCCATATGTATTGCGACTAAATTCTCGCTAAAAATCGTCAAGTCTTTAAAATGCGGTTTGGAAATGTACGCTTCTGCCCCTAGCTTTCTACCAATATTTTCCCAGTGGGTAACTAACTTAATATTTACCCGTTTCTCCACGTTCTCCATTGTCTTTCCAAATACAGCGTTATTCATAAGTTTGAAAAAATCTTTTTCAAACTTATTTTCAGCGTTATTACGCTTTGCTGTATTTAGATCAATGTAGGTTTTCAACCAGGGAGATTGATTAAATGATAAAATGCGATGAATTTTGGCAAGTTTCAGACCATGGTTCAACGCTTGTTGTAAATTTTGATAATGAATTACATATCTAACTTTAGAATTAAAATTGGGGATTAATTTTGAAACTTTAGATCCCTCTGGTTGAACGGACTCTGGGCAAAAGGGTAATTCGTTGTGTAAATCATGTAAATGCTCCGGATACTCTAAATCGACTTCAAAAACATAACCTATATTAGAATTTTTATCGATATTCATAAAATTTAAGTTTGAAATTTCTTCTTCTGTTAGCCACGTAAAGTTACCTGTTGGTAGATATTGCGACATGGCTGCACCATATAAATTGGTAGCATCCAAGTACATAATGTAGGAAGTAGGTTTGGAAGCGTCGTATATAGACATAAATTTGTTATTCGCGATAGCTTTTCTAACACTACATTGACTGACACCGCCGCGAATCCCGTGTTTAAAGAAATGTATCATGTCTAGATCTGTCAATAATTTCAGCTCGATAGATGTAGTTTTTAAAGCCGCGTCAAAGGACAGAGATGGTGCGGTGAAGTATTGACAAGGATCTAGACCGTATGTTTGTAGACACACCTCTCTAAAATTCTCAAAAACATCAGTTAATAATAGTACGTCGGATTTTAAATATATATCTGAATATTCGCCTAAAGTTTGACATTTAAATAAATTCCATACGTTCAATGCACGCTCGTAATCTCCTTGTTTGATGGCTTCTTTTCTAAGTTCGTTATAGAAACCATCAATGGGTGGAAGCTTGGTATCGTCTAATTTGGAAAAGGAATCTACGTACGAATATGGGAAAACACCCTTCATACGAATAACCTTAAATTCTTCTTCGTTAGGGAAATACTTTCTAACCTCGCGACACTGCTGTGATGTTAAATTTTGACTTAGTTTATCCAGGCTTGATGCCATAAATCGAAAACTATCCAAAAATCTTAATTTTAAAAATAACTTTTGTTGTCGCTTTTCCTGGTTATTGTCGTCATCCCCCACCATAATATATTTTGTAAAAGAAATATATCTTTCTTTGTTTTGGGGAATGACGTCCAATCGTTCTTCCTCCACAGCCAATTCTTTTATAAAAAGATGGCTGTCAAAATTTGACATATTGTGGAAGAACACAGGAATGAAATTAGGTATTTTAAAATTTAGATTACAAACAGAGTGAGCCGCACCTCGATATTTTCCTGTCAGATGACAGTGGTCCCTTACTCTGTCATCTTCCACATTAAACGGTCTTTCGCAAATATGACAATGCGTCATCTGATAAAACTCAGCTTCTTGTACGCTACTGAGAGGAGACATGGATACAATATTTTTCATAAATCGATTGTAGATTGATTTACAATCAGTCTCTAACCAATCTATGAAAACTTTATGTGCATCAGGTCCTCTAAAAGTCTTGAAAATCGACTGAGAATTATCAAAATCGCATTTAATGTAATAGGCAAAAGAATAAGGAACGTGTTGGTGTGTTTTCACCGTATAGGAAATTTCAGGATCCAACTCGTTTTGCTCTGTTTGTATAGGTTCCAAAATAGTTTCAAAATCAGCGTATACAACAAAAGGTACTTTTAATTTTCGTTCGAAATTCGTAAATTTAAGGATATTCTCGGGAATATTTTCACCATATTTATTTTTCTTTAAATTATTCGAAGGAGTTTCAACTACAACGTGACCACAATCGTATTTTTGATGATTTTCTAATTTAATATCTGAAGAAAAATAAACCAAGCAACCATCGCATAAGAATTTTGAATGTTGTTTGCCTGAAAGTTGTTTGGAGATTAGGCGAGACATATTTCTTATTAAACAGTAATGATTATTGCCAGAATCATCACTGATTAATAACAAATTCACACGTCTATCTGTCTTATGAGATCTAGTAAAATACAAAGGACCCACAACTTCAATAATATTCCTATCATGTTTATAACCCTTCTCGAGTCCATAAACATTAATAGAAATATTATTGAGTTGTTCGAATTTTGACACCTGTTTCAAAGATATCGGAAAATCTATACCTGTCACATCCAATTCCTGCTCAAATGGATGATAATTCTGGACTCGGTTGGCGTTCTGAGTTCGGGGAACTGGGTGAAAGGCGGCTAAAACCGACCATACAAAACATTTCTGGTCAGTGTTTTGTATGTTCAACACAGCCCTTTTCGCTTCTATTTCCTTCGGTAATGGTATATAAGATGAGGCTTTTAGTGGGTTGATTTTATTTACCCTTACATCTACGTGAAGGAGTTGCTGAAGAGTCCAACCTAATGTACACGAAAAAATAATTAGTATGGTGAAATCAGAAAAAATTATATACTTACCACTATCTTTTTCATTGAACTCCTGGAATCTCCGCTTAATGATAGTAGTGAACTGATCAAACAACTCCTCCAAATCGGTGCCCTGACTTGCTCCCCTGAACCTAGAGCCAAAGGACTTGGTCTCCTCTACCTCCTTTGTCTGCAGGAGGAAACGCCCGAAAAGCTCCATACCGACTTTCACATTACCAAACCTTTCGATTTGGCATCTTACCAGCGAAATGATTTTTTCGCGGAGATTAGCTAAAAAATCATTAACGCTGATAGGATCTTTTTTCGATAAAAGTCGGTATGTAGCAATTCGGTTTTTGTAAGAGGTATTAACTAAGTAAACACCTTCCTCCTGCATTACCAAGTGCTCTAAAAAAAAAAATGCGTTTTAATTTAAAAGGTGTATAAAAAAATAATAATAACTTACCGTTATTGAAACCAAGTCTAGCTCTCTTTGGCACCGAAGACTCTGACTCTGCCTGATTGACTAAAATAAAAGAAAAAAAATATTTAATATAAAATAGATCCTTTCTGTTAAAAAAAAAATAGAAATATATGTTAAATAGTTAATTAGTTTAAATAATTGAAAAAAAGTTAAAAATAATAGTTGAATATATTAAAAATAATTAATAGTTAATTAATTTAAAAATAATGGAAAAAGTTAAAAAAATAATAGAAAAATATGTTAAAAAATAATTAAATAGTTAATTAATTTAAAAATAATGGAAAAAGTTAAAAAATAATAGAAAAATATGTTAAAAAAAATAATTAAATAGTTAATTAATTTAAAAGTAATGAAAAACAAATAATTACTTACTGTTAGTGGCAGAGCTTGTTCTTTTCAGGGAGGTCTTCTCTAAATTTTTTGGTTCAGGCTGATTGACTAAAATAGAAAAACCATTTAATATAAAATAAAAAATAAAATAAAAACTCACCATTAGGGGCTCCTTTACAAATCTTCATATGCCTGCCTAAACTATCACTTCTGCTAAAGGATTTCAAACATTTTTGGCACATATCTAAAATAAAAAAGCATTTTTTAAAGCCAGAACATAAAATAAAAATATTTACTTACGTTTACTAAGGCTAGCACCCTCGTCCACGCTGGTTTGGGGCGTGGCAGTTTGGATTTCATTGGCTAAAAAAATAGAAAAAACATTTAATATTGCACAATATAAAAAATAAAATAAAAAACTCACCATTACAAGTCTTCGCATGTCTTGTCAAATTCCTTTTATAGGAAAACAATTCCCCACAAGTGCTGCACAGAAACATTTTTTTTTTATTTTTCACAGTGAAACGACTAATTTCGACGAGAGGCAAGTAGAGACTGACGTGAATTGCGAGTTGTTTGCTGGGTACAATGCTAGGCCGGAAACGGAAACGGAAACCGCAATCTAGAAAAACAAACGCGTGATATCATAGTCGTCATACCGGAAGCTGCAAAGTCCGATTAAAAATAATACCGACCGCAAACTCCGATAAGGAATAAATGTTGCACAATGTATTTTTCACCAAGTTTGATTTATTTTATTTTACTTAAATATTCATCACAATGATTCATCTTCTAGAAAAACAAAAGCATGACATCATGAGAGGAAGCCGTAAAGATTGAAGTATTAGATCATTTTACTGTAAACCATTGTCTTGTTCACATCGCTCTCATCATATCGTTATGGATAAATCAAGTTTGATTTATTTTTACCGTTTAAATAAATATTATTATTATTTATGAATACCCAAAAGGCATTATTAATTAAAACTCAATCGTCAAACGTTAAAATTATCATCTGTGTTAAAACATGGAAAGATTTTTTTTTTGGAATATATACCGGGTGTGAAAAAACAATCTATGATGTAAAGCGTTTGTTTTTTATTAACACCTTGTATATAATAGGTATGACGTAAGACAGGTTTGACGTTTGACATTTGACGTTTGACGTAAGATATGTTTGACAGATGACATTTGACAGATGACGTAAGACAGGTTTGACGTTTGACATATGACATTTGACGTTTGACAGATGACAGGTTTGACATTTGATAGGTTTGACGTTTGACATATGACGTAAGACAGGTTTGACGTTTGACATATGACGTAAGACAGGTTTGACAGATGACGTAAGACAGGTTTGACATTTGACGTTTGACAGGTTTGACAGATGATGTAAGACAAGTTTGACGTTTGACATATGACGTTTGACGTTTGACGTAAGACAAGTTTGACGTTTGACATATGACGTTTGACGTTTGACAGATGACAAGTTTGACGTTTGACGTTTGACATATGACGTTTGACATTTGACAGCCCCCCTCCTCCTCGCGCCTGCGCCGTGTTCCTCCTCCTCGCGCCTGCGCTGTACCCCCACTCCTCGCGCATGCGCCGTGCGCTCTGCTCCACTGCTCCACTGATGCAGAATCGGCCTTCTACCTCTACTATTATAGTATTATAAAAACTTGAAGAATGCTTAAATGCAAAAACTTCAGAACAAAATCACAACAATAAAGTAATGAATGAAGATTGCTCTCATAATATATGACAGAATATCAAATAAATTATGGAAAATTTTCAGGAACAAAACAGGTACGAAATCTGTAAGTGTGAGCCACTTCTGTTTCTTAAAAGTTTCGAAAAATTTGTGCCACTATGATCTTTATTCTTATAGTTTATTTAGCAAAACCATATTTTGGTAAAACGTTTCGAAACAAAAAGCGATTTATGTTACGAAACATAATAATATATATCAACAATGTGACGAAACTGATTTGCAATGTTTCTCAGTAAATATTTTCTTTCGATTTTGTGTCTAAAAATGTTTCTTGGGATAAATTTAATAAATACGGACTCACCCAATTAATAATTTCAGAAGGTGCTTAATTTTTTTTAAACAATATGAACTGACCTCAGACACAACATAAAACGTATATTAGACAAATAATAATGACGTAACATTGAACGATCGCTGAACAAATAGTAGATAATGTATACTATTCTAAAAGTTTAAAATTTAATTTGACGAATAAAAACAAATCATTTGTGCCATTATTTAAAGTGCATGGGTCGCATTTTAGCCCCAAAAAGTTCAGCTGGAGACGCCGGTGAGCTTTTGAGCATGCCCATTCGAGTGTGCTATTTCAATTTTCGGCCAAAAACAAAATACATTTAACTGAAAAACTACAATTTTCTAGGTGGCTGAAGGAAAATCCTTTCAATCCTCCGTTCTCCTCTTATTTTTGTTTGTTCATTTAATCGAGTTTTTGATGAAAAAGTTTCTTTTAAAAATAAGGAACGTCAAAATATAGCCAATAAGGACTTATTTCTTTGGAAAACAAAATGAAGAAAGTTTCTAATGTACAACTATTTATTAAATATCTATCATTCGTTTGTAATAATTGTTAATCTACACTGCGCACAAATAGTATCGCATAATTTATTAATAATAAATTGCCGATGGGAATTTTTGTAGTTCTTTTTTTTTAATACTCTGCTGAACTCTTTTTAATCCATATATTTTTTATGCATATAGTTAAATGTTTGTGAAAATTTTAAAAATAACACAACTAATAAATTTATATGTATATTAGGAATAAATTTCAGTTTTACAATGTTGATTTGTTGTGTTTTTTGAATTTAAGTTTTACATTTGTTCTAATTTTAACTCGAATTTTAATCTACTATCGATATTGTCACATTTTTAAGATATATTTTTTTACTGAAAATTTTAAAAAGTGTCACCGAAATGTTATTTATTACCCACCGCCATCCACAGGGTATTGCAAAGGCCCGCTTCTTGTTTAATGGTGTTTGCTAGTAGCACTGTTATCCCACACAATAAATAGAAAAAGCTTACCTCTGATATTTAAATAGCCATATTATACTAATAAGTTATTATTTATTATATTCTGTCCTGCAAGTCCTGTCTTATCTGTCCACAACACAGAATATGGAAAACCAATATCTTTCCATTTTCTTAAGCACTCACGAACCGTACGCACTTACTAATTAAATCTATTTCTCGAAAATCACTTTCTTTAAGATATTGCACCTTTCATATGCAGGTATATGATATGGGAAAGAGTTTGCTTTTGTTGGCTTATTGTTCAAAAGACATTTGACTCTTGACTGATATATGTATTGGGAAGCCAATCTTTGTGTGCTGGATGTTTTTCTTTTTCTTTAAATTATAAATAAAACTAAATTGTATCAATATAAAAGCACTTTAAAACTAGCACACACATTCCCTTCGAATTTTAAAACCGTTTCAAGTGTTTTATGGATTTCACCTCTACAATAGGGGTGCTGTTAGGTTTTAGAGGTGTGCTTAATAGTTCTTTTCAATTAACTAGTTCGCGAAACTAGTTTGAAAGATAAATACCTAGTTTATCTCTGCTAGTTCATTTAGTTCTCACCAGAGACAATCCTACTAATGATCGTTCTAATAGGTCATTCGCGAACTACATACAGCTACGCAATTAATTTAGTCTGAAAAGATCTTACAACGTTTGCCGCGAACTAGTTCATTTTATATCTGCATAAAGATGACCATCTCAATAAGATATTATGCCAAAACTGTCAACGCATTTGACAGTTGACAGAATAACAAATAACAAATCAATGTTAACTATTTTAATTATAAAATGAACCAAGAATCATTTTTAGTTTTGTTAATTAAGCTTATTATATATAGAGATCTAAACGTAATACCTTGTAAGTAATTGTATGTCGAGACACTTTTGTTACGCTCGTTGAATTTGACAAAAGTGTCAAATTAGTGTCTACTGACATAAAGATGTCAGTTTAAAATAGTTACTTATTTAACAAATTGAAATGAATGTGTTTTAAGCACGATACACAAAATTGTCCAACGAATTTCATACAAGATTTTTTGTGAAAGCGGATAATTTGCGATTTTCATGCTATTATTATTTTTTATTTTTAACCCTTAAGTACTAACATATTGAAATAGTTGCGCCTATACTAACAGACCGTCTGAGAGACGCATTAAAAAAAATCATATTTTGTTCGTGTCTAACAGATTTTTTGTAAGTGTAGTGAATCATTAGCATTAAAACTACAGGAAAAAAATATCTAATGCTTATATTATGCGAACATGTTTTATATTTTTGAAATAAAAGTACTAATTTTGGATTTTTGACATATCTTTGTTTCTCATCGAGATAGAAAAAAAGCGAAAGGAAAATGAAAAAATATATTGATTATTATATTTAGCATATAAAAACCTATCTATTAAGCACAAAAAAGCAAAAGAAAATATAAAGAATAAAAAAATGACAATGCCTAAAGATGGGCTTGTTCCCTACACACTTTTTTGCGCATTCCAAACAAATTGTTCTCTTCACTTTCTTCAATATTAGTTTACTGATCGTTCACATCCATATTTTCATCATCTATATCAAAACATAAACAGCTACATACCATTAGATATTAGTTAAAAACCGTTTCTTTACCTTCTAATTCGAATTCAGAATTATGATCGCTCTCTATGGCAAAATTTTCCCTACATTCGGATTCTTTGTCACTATTTTGCTATTATCGCTGCCAGTCCCTTCAAACCACTTTAGAAGAGTATCCTTGTAATCTTTCTTGCCATACTTTACATGTTTTGAGCTACTAGGTTCTTGATTCATTCCACAAATTTAGAAAAAAAAAGTACGTTAACGCTAACACTCCGTCTGTCAGACGGCATCGACAGTTTGAACTAAAATATTTCGAAAACTACACACTTTTGCAAATTGCCCTGCCGGCCTTTAACTTGTTTTGATGCGTATTGAAATTACATAGTTGGATGTTAATTAGAAGTGGAGAGGAGAGGAGATGTCATATGTCCAGCTAGTCCTTTGCGTCTGTGAGACGGGGTGTTAGTACTTAAGGGTTAAACATTTTTTAAAATGTTCTGGTAATCGGTTTCTAAGGCATTGTTTATGCATTGTTTAATGACAAAGTTCTGTCAGGTTCAAACGTCGCCGTATTTCCTACAAAGTTTTGTGAAAAATTGAGTGATAATGACAAGTCTTTGGATATTCAAGAAGCTGCTGAAACTGCGCTATCCACGTTAGTGCCTGAGAAGTCGAAAACCTTACACGAGACCTACAACAACTTTGAAACCTGTTTCTAACGTTTCATTTTTTACTTTTAGGCACTAGTGCCTAAACAAGTGTCACTTTTAGATACTAGTGCCTTTGCTAGTGCCTAAAAGAATATCATGTCGAATCTCAAATCAATATCAAAAACTGTCAATTTCGAAACTCTTTCACAAAAATATATTTTCGTACTTTTGTGCTTAGGCGTAAAAGTGCTTTACTTTTATGCCTAGGCGTTAAAATTACTTTTTTAATATTTTCAATCACGTAGAAAAAATAATAATTTTGTGACGTTTGTGAAAAAAAAATATTATTTTCAATTTATTTCTGTTATCTGTACATTTTCTGTTTCCTCAATAGCCAGCAAATTTTGTGGAAAACCACCCAAAATACACATTTTTATGTAAATGCCTAATAATGTTAACGCTTACATTTATTGCAGCTGTGTCCATTAAACCAATATACCTACTACTACTAACCTAACTTCGTATTTATCGTGGTTTACAGCAATTTTGTTAAATTATATGAATATCCTCGTTGATTATTGGTTTAAAATAAATATGACGATGTCCTCCAATGAACTAGCAAAGCTGAGCTAGCAAATGAGCTGAAAGCTTTACCTAGAACGCTATTCAGAAGCTACAAACGTATCGATGAAAATACGCATGAAAATTTACTTTCTAGCACACAACCAGGGGATATTGATACCCGGGTAACAGTAT